ATCGTTTATGATGGCAATCACAAAGCAGAACCTAAATAATTTCAGTAAAAGAACGGCCATGATGTGCAATATCTTGTACAATCTTTTTGTGAGCTGGGCGGGGATGTACAGAATCAAATTTTCCTCTTCAGTTCCTCCCACATGAATCCTGCCTCGAATCTCCAATTATGTACGGCATTGATACGTAACGACAAATATTACACTGACTGAAATTGCGGAAACACCGACTTGTTTCAATCTGCCAGCTGTACAATTTCTTTCCGGTTTGACTAATAAAAAACAATAGGAGAAATTTCATCTACACCCCTTGTATATTGCCCTATCTTAAAAGACTCCCTGTATTGTTTAAAACTTCGCTGGCATCACTTATCAGTTTTTGTCGATTAACCTAAGTAATGGAAAGTATTTTTTAATACTATATTGGCAATAAAAATTAAAGCAATTTACATTTAACTGATAATATGTTTAGAGCACTCCAATAATACTATCTAAAATAGTTATTCAAAATATATTTAAATATTATATTATTTATTTTAGTTAACCATTTTTTCAAATTTACTCCAACAATGCTGTCTATTTTAGCTAATAATTTCAACTAACTTTAACTAAATTTCAATAATACAATTCAATTATATATTGTACAAATTTAATCAATTATATGCTACAATAAAGAACCCACCTCCCGAAAATTACTACTCCAAAATTAAATTCTCTCAAATTAAATCACAAAATCACCTCAAAATTTTTGAATTTGATCGAAAACTTCTGAAGGCTTCGAGTTTAATCAAACTAGATGTCATCATCTCTCTATCGATCGCCTCATCCAAAAACTAGACCAACAACTTTTGAAGTAGCTATGGAGAATTGACTAGCTAGTAGGTAGTGAAAATGGGGTTATAAAAAATAAATAGGGGAATAGCAAGTCTGTTAGAGCCATATTTTAAGGAGAAACTATCTAAAATAGCTAAAAAATAGGTTTTAGCTAGCCTTTTGAAGATGTTCTAGTAATTGTTCAAAAATTCTTCAAAAATGGATAAAATAGACATTATAGAATTATTGAAAGATAATTAATGAAATCAAAAGTCTTTTACTTAAACTACTTTTATTTGTAGTATAAATAAAATCTAATAGCAAAGGAAAACTATTATTTAAATTATTAACTAAATGAAGACCATAACAATATTTTATCTAGGAAAAGAATTGGCTTATACATTTACTAATATTCAATTGATTGTGTATCTGTTATCAAATACTCTGTTATAAACATCATATTTAATAGTAAAAATATATTAGAACGATAAGGTCTAGGGTTATGTTTTTGATTTTACACATGAGAAATTAAAGTCGCAATTCACCCACACATAATTTGTTGTCAATTATAACTAGTGCTTAATAAAGTATTAATGACAACTTATATGATATCAGAATAATGTAGAAGCATTTTTTCACTATTACGATCAGTTTGCCATGGAATTTAGAGAGAGAGGGGGTATGTGGGAAAATTAAGAAAAACGTATATGCTTGGTATATGAAAAGTTGGATAACTTGTGCATGTGTAACATGTAAGGAAAAATAATTAAGGGCCTCAAACTACATTGTGAAACCACATAGAGCTTAGAACAGAGCCTCACCCTAATAAATAATCAAGTTTCAATAACAATAAAAAAATAAAACCAACAAAAGAAAAAAAAAGTTAAATCGAATATAAGAGAAAACTACTCAACCAAACTAAGAGTGACCCATCATACCAAAACATGTCTCCATCATTAGAAGTTTAGTTCTAGCTAACCTTTATGCAAAATCCACCCCTCAATCTCCACCCAAAATGAGCCGTCACAATTAGATCACTTAATCAATCAAATTAAGTCAAGTTTTACCTATTAGTTCTGGTTCAAGATTGTTCTCCAAAGATTGAATGGGGTTCAACCATGTGTTATTACTAAGTGGATTACCAGCAACTACTTTCAATTATTTTTTTTCCTTTTGGGCATTTCTTGAAAAATTGGTGGCCATTAACATGATCATCACATTTTCACATAAAAAGTTGCATACATTAAAACAACAACACATTCTGATACCAAAAAATATTTTTCATCTTACCTTCTAAAAGGAAAAAAAAAACAGTTTTTATGTTAGGCTTTCTAATTGGTAAGAAAGAAATATACGAAGGATAAAAAAGATGATAGGTTAGCATTCATTCTAACTTTCTAAAATCTATCCCTTTGAAATTATGAGAAAAAATAGATGAAAATTAATTATATGTGTTGAAACATATATTATTTACATTTATATAATTTAATATTTGCATATATCATATTAATCTAGTATAAATTATGTACACATTTAATTTTATATATAGATACAATAAGTGCAATGGTAAGGTTACTCTATTATTATCTAGAGATTACGGATTTGAGTTGTGAAAACAGTCTTTCTGCTTACAGAGTTAAGACTGTATATATCTAATCCTCCTAGATCTCATAATAATGGGAGCCTTGTGGACTGCATACGCCCTTTATACAATAATAAAATATGTATTTATTCTTTTTTTATCTTTTCACTTTTTCATCGTACCAAATACAAAAAAAAAAAAAAGTCAATTATTGTTACTGTTCATCCCCGCTACCAAATACAAAGGAGGGACATTCTTCCCCTAAAAAATATTAATGGATCATTCTCAGTTTTTATCTTTCTATTTTTTCATCCACTCTACCAAACATACCATTATCATGTTTTAAGGTAAAACGTAATATTTTTCTGGTTATTTTTACTTTTTGATATGTTACTAAAATTTTACTTTTCGATAACATAATTAAGAGGAAAACGGATGGAAGGATGGAGACGCAGGGTGTGAAAATGTGATTTTTTTCATTACACATTCTCATATTTTTTTTAGGATGCTCTTACCATGAATTCAAATAAGATTAATTATATTAGTGAGTTTTTTGCTTAGTATATAATAACTAATTTATTTAGAAAAACAAAAATAATAATATTAGACAAGATCTAAATCCTTGTTGAAGTTGGTCACAAACGGAATGATTTTTGGACTGAATTATTTGGTTTTTGACCAATTTTAATCAAGATTTTTTATTATTTTGAACCAAATTTTAAAAGTTAAATAATTCATTTCTCATCTAAAATCTTTGATTAAAAAACTCCTAGGGTTTGAACATACATTAACCTACTTTCCAAAAAAAAAAACATAATTTTATCCCAATTAAAAACCCTAGGGTACCCACCCTCTTTTTTTTTTTTTTTTTTTGGTAAAAAGGGACAATATGTGGATTTTTTTTTTTACTTTCATTCCAAATAATTACCTAAATTACCAAATATTTATTTTAGAATATAAATTACTTAGTGGAAGAAATAATTAAAAAAGGGGTGAAAGTGTTATTTCCATTAGACAGGATGTGGCAGTATAATACTTGATGTGGCAGTATAATACTTGAAACTCGGGGAAGCTTTATTTCATGGTTAGTAAGCTGTACAAAACCAAAGTTTCCAGCGAAACTCATAAGCAGATCCAGTTGGACCAACAGCGCAGACGCTCTGTTGTTTATTTTTGAACATAGCACCATAATCTGAGAGAGAGAGAGAGAGAGAGAGAGAGAGAGAGAGAGAGAGAGAGAGAGAGAGAGAGAGAGAGAGATAGAGCGAGAGAGAATAGTGGAGGAGGGCTAGCGCAGACGGCAGTGAGACAGAGTTCGCCGGAAACTCACATTTCCGGTGAAACTCTTACGTCTGAAAGTTTTCTTTCATTTCCGAGGTTTTTCTTCTTTTTCTTTGTTTTTTTCTTCATCTTCTTCCTGGTTTTGGCAGGAAAAGCATTGTTATAGTTCTTTTCCTTGTGTGTGTGTATTGGAATTAAAATATCTGCGCGTGTATGTATATGTATCTGCTCGTATATGTATATGCATTTGAATCTGTGCAGGCGTACAATACATATTCATACATGTGCGTACTTATGTATATTTGTACGTCTATCTGTGTCTATATCAGGGATGGGATTTATGGGTTCATCTCAAATAGATGTATACTTGCGAAATGAAATGCTTAGGGTCTTTTTTTGTTGATGATGAAACAAAGGAAATGAAAAGAAAATGAATTTCTGTTTGATTTTGTTCGTTAGTAATAGTATGGATCATTGTGTTTTGTTTAGATCCAAAAATGACAGAAAGCAAGGGGAATCTTGGTTTTTATTTTCTCATCGGTTTCCGTCAATTTCTTGCCAACAAGTGGAACACATTGTTTTCCACACTGTGCTAGAATGTTGATTGGGAATCTCATACTAAACACATGAATTAATACTGTTGCATGAAGCAATTGTAGTAATTCTACTCAAGAAGTATATCCTATTTTGTAATTACAAGTTGTCTAAGTTATTCATGTGTTTGGACTTAATTCCCCAATCTATGGTTGGGTATTTGTGGTGCTTTCTCGACAATCTGATTACTGTCAATTCATATGTGGATGCAGTGAGTTCATGTTCATGGTTTGATTACTAAATGCAGTGAGCTCATGTGCACGATTGATTTTTTTTAGTTTTTATTTCAATTTGCTTGTACTTATGGGTCTTCTTTGTTATCTTTATCAGGTGTTTTCCTGTTTGATTTTTTTTTGACTGCATTATTTAAATCCACATAATTTAGTATTTGTTCAGAACCCTCACTCCCATGTAGCCCAATACTTGATTTTTCTAATCTATTCATTATTGATGAATATTAATGCCTTTTTAACCACACACCGTGTATCACTTCAATTTCACAAGGTTATTGTATTCAATGACCATATCATTTTTTTAATGGAGTTTTTGTTGCTTCTTGTTAATTATAGAAACAATACATGTATGGTGTCTTTTGATGTTATAGAAGTACAATGAACTTCATGGTTTCATTTGATACTGTGAGATTTCAAAGAAGTCATACTACAACATATGTTAATTAGTTTCTCCACCGGCATTTCTAACTGCTTTATTTTTTTTCATCACTGAATTAGCTATGGATAACTTCAAAACTCCATTCAAAGGAGTCATTAAAGATGCCAAAGGAAGACTAGCATGCTATAAAGAAGATTGGATCAGTGGACTTTGTTCAGGCATCAGGTAAGGACTTGTTCTGGAATAAAATGTGAAGTGGAAGATTAAATCTTTGGTTACGGGTTTTCAAATGTAAACTGGTTCTGTATAATTGAATTCAGGTTATTGGCTCCAACTGCATATATCTTCTTTGCTTCTGCTCTTCCTGTCATTGCTTTTGGGGAACAATTGAGTAGGGAAACAGGTACACTAATAGTTTTATTCACAATAAGATAGGGCCAACATGGAAGATGTTGAAGCTATTTTAATGGCATATATGAATGAATGGAAAGGAAGAAGTTATTGCTTCATGCTGAAAATTGTGTTTGTTTTATGGTAGATGGAAGCTTGAGCACAGTTGAAACTCTCACTTCCACCGCTATCTGTGGAATCATCCACTCCATCTTAGGTGGACAGCCCCTGTTGATTTTAGGAGTTGCAGAACCCACAGTTATCATGTACACTTATTTGTACAACTTTACCAAAGACAGACCAGAGATTGGGCGGAAACTATTTCTAGCATGGGTTGGCTGGTAGAAAGATCTATTTCCTCTTCTTTTCCTTTTTCTTTTCTCTTTTTTTAAAATCCAGTTTTATTTGACTTTTTCATGGCATTATGAGTTAGCATATGTGTGACAGTTTAGTTTTTTATTCTACAGGGTTTGTATCTGGACAGCCATCCTGCTGTTTCTTCTTGCAATATTCAATGCTTGCACAATCATCACTAGATTTACGAGGATTGCGGGGGAACTATTTGGCATGTTGATTTCTGTTCTTTTTATTCAACAGGCCATTAAGGTATGCCTTCTTTTATTCCTCTGTTTAATTATTTTGCTAAGTTGTATATGACTGATAAAAAATAGAGAACAATTACTCAGTTGAACTGAGCCAGGAATGCTGTCTTAACCTTGATTTTTGGTTTGATCCTAGGGAGTGGTGAGTGAATTTGGTATCCCAAAAGGTGAATATCCCACATTAGAGAAGTACCAATTTCAGTGGCTTTATGCAAATGGATTACTAGCAATCATTTTCACTTTTGGTGTACTTTTTACTGCCATGAAGAGTAGAACAGCTAGGTCTTGGTGTTATGGCACAGGTACATGAGTTGAACTCCACCAAACTGATTGTAGTGGCAAAATGCCCTTTATTGGGACCTAATTTTTTTTTCTTTTGGTTGCTGAACACAGGGTGGCTACGAAGTTTTGTTGCAGACTATGGGGTTCCCCTTATGGTCCTGTTGTGGACAGCCTTGTCTTATGGCGTGCCGGGGAAAATTCCTTCTGGAGTTCCCAGGAGGCTCTTTTGTCCTCTTCCATGGGAATCTGGATCATTATACCATTGGACCGTGATCAAGGTTTTATTCTGTTTAAACACAGCTTTCTTTGTCTTGTGTAAGATTTGATGTTTTAGTGCTGCTTTTAAAACTCCCATGGCTGAAATCATAGTTCATTGTGAGTGGTGATCTCTACCTGGTTCTGTCATTTACATACCACATACTAAATGAAATGATGTCCAGAAAACATTATGGGCCCCAGAGGGCAGGGTTTTGCATAGTACCCTAATGACTTGATTGCGAAGGAGTTTTGTAAATGATATTTTATTTTTGTTCTTTTTAATGGCTAATATGAGGTATTTTGAGCTTATATGGTTGGGAGATGTTAATGCAAAATTTTCGCGAAAACATTCAATCAGATAGGGTTTCATACAAGTATGACTTACTTGTACCAATAATTTTTTTGGTGGGGTTTTGTATTTGCATTTATATAACGTACCTACTAATGTTTCTTTGACCAAAGCAAAGGCCAAAACAGTTCTGAATACATCAAATACCTTAAGAAATGATAAAGATGATATGACTTACGCACTTTATGCAATTAAACTGCAGGATATGGGGAAGGTCCCTGTGGCTTACATTTTTGCCGCCATTGTACCAGCAGTGATGATAGCGGGCTTATACTTTTTTGACCACAGCGTAGCTTCACAGATGGCACAACAGAAGGAATTCAATCTCAAAAACCCTTCTGCTTACCACTACGATATCTTATTGCTTGGATTCATGGTATAGGCTCTTTAGAAATGTTAATATCAAGTTTTGGCTTGTTGCTCATATTTATGGCATAGTATTTTGAGCTTTTTTATTAATATTTCTCTCTGTAAGATTCAATTCACTACTTTTTTGTATGGACTTACATTGTGACTTGAATTTGTGTTTTCAGACATTGCTTTGTGGATTGCTTGGTCTCCCTCCTTCAAATGGGGTTCTCCCGCAATCACCTATGCACACAAGGAGTCTTGCAGTCCTTAAAAGGCAGGTGGGATTCATGGTTCTGAAATGAGTTCTATTCCATGTTGCTTGCATCAATATGGTTAGTTTATATTTAAAGACAATATGATTCATGATTTGCAGTTGATCCGAAAGAAATTGGTGAAAAGTGCCAAGGAATGCATAAAACAGCAAGCAAGCAACTCAGAGATCTATGGGAAAATGCAGGCTGTGTTCATTGAGATGGACAGTGCTAGGACCGTAAGTGCTCTGGTCATGTACGCTCTTGTATGTCTGCATTTTTGTTAAGTGAACTGTAAGTCCATTTGCTTGCAGACCAGTTTTGTGGATAAGGAGTTGAAGGACTTGAAGGAGGCAGTAATGAAATTTGATGATGGAGAAGATGTAACTGACAAATTTGATCCTGAAAAGCACATTGATGCTTACTTGCCTGTCCGAGTCAATGAACAAAGAGTAAGCAACTTGTTACAATCCCTGCTAGTGGGCCTTTTAGTATGTGCTGTGCCAGTGATCAAAATGATACCTACCTCAGTCCTCTGGGGATACTTTGCTTACATGGCCATTGATAGCCTCCCTGGTAATCAGTTCTGGGAAAGGATGTTGATGCTCTTCATTCCTTCTGGTCGACGTTTCAAGTAAGTTCTGCATCTTGATCACTTCAGATAATAAAATCATTCCATTATGTTGGTGCCATTTAAATGCACTAACATGTGAGCATAATTCTGTATGTTGATTATTATGAAACCCACAATTTGAAAAGCGTTTGATGCATTGAATAAAATAACTTATTTGAACTTCATATATAATATACCAATTTTATGTACCATTAACTACTTTTATCTGGTCTGTTACAATTAATTACTGTGTTATTAAATATAAAATCCAGGGTATCTGCTACTGTCTCAGGTTATTTTCTTGTGGTATTATGTTTGCAGAATTTTGGAAGGGGACCATGCTTCATTTGTGGAAACAGTGCCATTCAAATACATTGCGACATTTACACTCATCCAGTTTGTATATTTTTTAATATGCTTTGGAGTGACATGGATCCCTATAGCTGGAATCTTGTTTCCACTGCCTTTCTTCCTTCTCATAAGCATTAGAGAACATGTCCTCCCAAAGCTGTTTTCACCTCGCCATCTTCAGGAATTAGATGCAGCTGAGTACGATGAAATCATTGGGATTCCAAGCCGCACCAGGAGTCTCTCGATCCGGGTAGGTTATTTTATTCCTCTTCTTAGGTGATGACCTCTTGGGTCAATACTTATTTTAGTTTCCGTGATAAGGATGCTTGCTTTGGTAGATAGTGTGTTACAGGTTAAGACTAAGATTCTGTCTTGGAATCACCGTTTATGTTAAATATTGGGACTATACACATAAAAATAAAAAAATACAGTTGACAGCAAGTACCTTCAACTTTGTTTTTTTTTATTTATTTTCAGAAATTTCTGATTTTTCAGTAAAAAAATGGACTAGTTCCTAAGGTAGGTATCAGTGCAATTTATTGGTATGTCAAAAGGATTTACGACCTCTAACAGTTTACCCCAAAAAATACTCCAAAATTATGATACCAAGGATGATGTTTATACAATGGATCAAAGATGGTTAAGCATCTAGTGATTTGCTGAAGCAACTCAAGATAAATGATTCATGTGGGTGAACTCAACTAGTATGACTAAGGTCCTGTTGAGTGTTGAGTTCCATTAGTACTTGGTGCCGTGGTTCCATTATGGTGCCATGGATCAGAATGTATTGGTCCAAACTTTGATTTTGGCTTGCATTCACTTTGTTAGACACGCTCCAGAACTTGTTGTTTTTCTGCTCCTTGATAGCTCTGCTTAAGTTGCATAGTCCTTACATGTCACTGGGAGGTGGAGGAGCTAAAGACATGTACGAAAAAAGAAGCCCAACTCTGCAATGAATGTGCCTCATTAAAGCTTATTCAGTGACATATTTCAAATGTGCTCAAGTACAATTTGTTGTTGAGTATTGGGGAGTTTGGTCTGATTTTTAAGCATCATTTGACTGTTATATGTAGTAAACTAGTAACGTGATCTTATGTATTACTGTTATCTTAATTACTGGACCTCGGGTGTGAAAATGTGTGAGCAGGAAAGAGAACCACCAGATCATGATAGCTTGGAAGTTCTGTAGATTTGTCTTCTGCAGAGATATTGGATGAGATAACAACCCGAAGAGGAGAGCTTAAGCTTAGGTCCATAAGCTTCAATGACAGGCAGTGTCACGTAAGTGACTTGTGTACAATTTTCTCTTGTCAAACATTATTTGGTCTAGTTGTTGCATTTTCTGGTGGAACACAATTTTGAAAAAATTGTTTTATTGCAGGTTCACCCACAATCGGCTGCCCATACATAGTGACAGTTGATTTGTTGATGTGGGTACTTCAGATTTTCTAAAGAAGAGCATTTGGGAAAGTTATCTCCATGTATAGAATTGGATTATCATAGGAAAGGAACTATAATACAAATCTATCCGAGGGAGACATAGACAAGGAATGGGAGAAGTGAAGCAAGAGGGAAAGAAGTGCTCGATGAAATATTTTTTTGATTTATTGTAGGGAAGTCATTAAATTCTTTATAGGAAGGTTTACAGCTTTCAGTCAATACTTTGATACCAAGTTGGGGGAAAAATGTCAGGTGGAGGAAAGGAAATGCAAAGAGCTGTGGAAAAAGATAACAAAACCTATGAATTAAGTCTTGTCTATTCTATTTCTATGCAATATCAATGGATGAAGGGTTTGGGATTAAGACTTATGTATTCTATTGCAATGCACCATTCTAATGCATTGCCTTGATTTCATTTAGCTTCTACTTGTTTAACTGGCTTGGAGACTCAAGACAGATTTTCTGTCTGATAGAAATTTTATGAATGAAGGGCCTTCATTGGATTATGCTTCTCAATTTGGATTCTCCTATGAACCAAAGTTCTTCTGCTCGGTTGGACTCTGGCTGAAACATTTTTCTTATGAAATTTCATTCTGAATTTTGTTCCATCGAAAGCTCAAAAGCGTGCTGCTTCTCTTTTATGTCTTATCCTCGAAACATTGCTCTAAAAATGTTGTCTAACAAATAAAATCTGCATAACTCAACATTGAAAAAGTCATGCCCTACCACAAGAGGCCAATGGGAAATTGGCATCCAATTGAACTCTTGAAAGAAATCAAGATAAACAAACTCAATGAATTTTTATCCAGCTGCATTAGACATATGGTAACTACAAAAAAGAAAAGGGGTTTATTAAGATTGAGTAGTAGTGGTGAAAGTTGCCAAACTTTAGCAGAGCAGTGGAAGGACAATTCTCTTAGATTACCAGCCTAAAGCTATGCCTTGCAGCCACAGTGTATAGCTTATGGAGGGAGAGAAATGGAAGTGTTTTAAGGATGCACTATCTATTTTTGAGGAAATCATTAATACCTCCCGTAGCAAGTTGGTTACTGTCAAATATGAGGAAATCCCCTAGAATCTCTAACTTCTGCAGACGTGGCTAAGTATCCCACCTGATGCTTAGCACAGTGGATAAATCTTGACAGGAGTGGTCTGTTTTTTGATTACTTTTGTATAATGTAGAGCTTAATTGGAAAGAAGTCCTATGCAACCAACCGAACTACTTAAAGATTAGACTCTTTTGGTCTTTTTTGGCTTTAGTAATGCTGTATGCAGAGTTGGACTGACCATACTTAACAGCTCTACATTCTGGCCAATTGGGTGGTTGTGTTTTTACACAAATTATCAACACAATTTGCTTACCCCAAAAAAAGATTGAGTAGCTGTAACATTCATCCTAAGAATTACAAAACTTACCCTTTGCCTTGGTTGAATTCCAGCCAAAAGCAAAAGTTTACAGATTTTATATAACAAAAAACATCTCAGTGTCACTGAGAAGCTATTAACAAACTTAATTTAATTAAAATAAATTTAATTTATTAAAAGACCATCAGATTCTAAAAAGAAAAACCAAAATACATATATTTTAAGTTGATCAAAATAATTGGAAATAATATATGAAAGAAATAATTACATTACTTGTTATACATGGTAGGTTCTAAGTCATGAATAGTAATATGAGGGCCTGACTTTAACCGGACCAAAAAAGAGACTAGTTGAACTACGCGTAAGCTGGTTCAGACATCTCTGACTGTTAAACAAAAAGAAAAAAAAAGAAAAAGATAGGATGTCACCCACATATTGATATTACCTCTTTTTAAGTCATTAAGTCCAACTCAATTCATCTTTTTTGTCTTGTAGTACAAATTAATCTTTTTTATATTCCGATATTAACCTTGCTTTGTAAACTTCACAAAATTTGAACAGACATTCAACGTTATTAAATTAAACCAGTGAGATCATCCAAAATTTTAAATACCAAACAATTGATTTATAAAGTGAAAAACATAGACACACACAAACTAAAACCGAATACCTTTCAACTGGCAAGGCATTCCTTTTTAAAGACACGAGCTTGAAGTCCGGACTTCAAATTACAAAGATTTACACTATTCATGACATCACTGTATGCATCAGATCTCATCACAGCTTACATAAAAGTTTTACTGTGCTCTTTATTGCTTCCGTCGGTGGCACTTACATCTTCTAACTTTATATGTAAATCAAATCATACAGTTCATTACTTGTCTCATTTTCGTGGTTATCACAGTCTTGGAGATTTATCTTCATGCAGAAGTAAATAACCTGTTATAGGGATATAACCCTGAGAGTCTTCCATAAGATCATTAAAATCGGACAAGTTATCCTTAGCTATTGCTTTGCCGTTTTGTCTGCCCTTCTCTTTATGTAAATTTACGGTAAGGGTGTTTACTAGATCCATTTTTTCATTTTTAAGATGACCAATGCTCCGTTTGGTAGAGAGGATAGAAAGTAGAAAAGATAGAAAGTAGGAGGGATATACTTTTTATCCTTCAAGGATAGAAAGTAGAAAAGATATAATTTCCTTCATTTGTATTTAGTTGGATGGATAGAAAATAAAAATGACTATTTTTTTTTTTTTGTGTTGGCTAAAATTAGGGGTGACTATTGAGTTGAGTCGTGCCAGATTCGTGTTAAGTCATTACGAGTTTGTGTCGAATGTTAGTCAAATCTAACTTAACTCATTTAACTAATTGTGTCATGCCGAGTTGCGAGTTGACCTATTTATTTTTGTATCGAGTTCGAGTCGTGTCATCGTATTGAGTCGAAAATTTTCACTCTTAGTTAAGATGAATTTTTTTTTTAATTTTTTAATTTTTTTAAAATTAATTTTTAATTTTTTTTAAAAATATATATACATATTTTACCATTATATTTTTATATGAAATTAATGTATACATAAGATATATCTATATAATAAAGTAACTTATAATTCAAATTTCAAAAATAAACAAAATGACTTTTACTATTCGCGATTGAAATCATTTTAAATTTTACTTTAAAGTTAATCTAACGGCTAATATTAATACCCTAAATTTAATAGGAAAAATAGGCTATTAAGGGGTGTTTGGAGTTTCTAAAAATTATTTTTTATAAATATTTTTTTTAAAACAAAAATAGTATTTAGAACTGCGCCCACCACCACCGCCACCCCCGCCGCCCCCACCACCATCACCACCCCACCGTCGCCACCACTACCACCACCACCACCACCGTCGTTGTTGTCACCGCCACCGCCGCCGCTATCGCCACCTCCACCGCCCCTACCACCACCACCATTGTCATCGCTGTCGCCACAGTTATTGCCACCTATCGCAACCATCATCGTCTTCTGCCACCACCACTTTCGCCCACCACCTCTCACCTCCCACTACAAATCGATGCTTAAATTCCTTTATCTCTTTTTTATGTTTGTGATTTGATTTTAAATATAAATACAAATATATTTATTGTTTATCATTTTTTATTACTCTGTACCTTCAGGCACAGGCACTAACTAGTAGACAAATAAGATACATCTCAACACAAATAATTAACTTTCCATCCACTTTCCTTCCGATTTTGGAGGGATTGATTTTGGTGAGTTGGAAGGAAAGTTAATTCATCCACTTTTCCATCCTTCTTATTTTCTTTCCTTACCAAACATGATGTTTTATTTATCCATCCAACTTTTCATCCGTCAAACTTTCTATCCTCTCACTTTTCCATCGTACCAAACGACGCACAAATGTAGCCATCATTTGCGGTCTCATTTCTTCCATGACCGCTGCTTTAAATTGTTTCGAATTTAATTGAGGTTTTTCCTTTAGGATCTTTTCTTTAAGAAGTTCAATGGGATTTAATTCCATACTGGGTGAAATTTTTTGAGCCTGTGAGGATGAGGTGCCAGATACTTCGTCCTTCATATCTTTAACATATGTCGATATAAGCGGAATTTTCGTTTGTAAAGGATAATTGTTCCAAAATTTTACTTGGAATTCTCAAAGTAATCAAGGGTGTTCATTACGATTAAAATCACAACTAAGAGTCCATACCCAAACCTAGGGTACAAAGAACTCAATTGGGAAATTTAGAATGGGTTTATCCTCTATTTCGTTTGCCTTTAGGGCTGGACCTTTTTATTTATAAATGTTTAATAATTTTAACATTTCTAGAGGATATATTTCTTCAATCACTCCATGGGTCTCCCACCATTGGTAGAACCAATTAGGGTATTCGTTAAAGGTTTCTATGAAAACAAAAAACCAAGTATGAGTTAAAGATGAGTTTTGAAAATAAAAGGCATTATGTCAAGCTGTGATATAATCAAAGTAATTGTCGCAAGTATACGGATATCTAGTTAATTTTCTTGGTTTAGCAAGGCTAATACCCCAATCTCGTTCGGATATAATCTTCATTAATGTAGCTTTACTATAAGCTATAGCTTCTGGAAGATTTGTGGGTCTCTTCCAGAAGCGTTCAATTTTTACAGAATCCATTTATTTAAGAATTAACTCATATATTTTCCTATCTTGATTACCAGTGATAAGCATGGCATTATCTAATTCAAAAAATTACTTGGCAATGTAATATGGATCTTTAATCCAATGAATATATTCATCTTCCAATATAATAATTAGTTCTATTACTGGTAAAGTTTTTAACTCTATGCAATTTAATTGTGGTTTGGCTATTAGAGCCTCTTTCATTGTTTTTTTTTTTTTTTAACTTCTAACAACGGTATAGCTGCCTTTTTATTTTTTACTAGAACTTTCTTCTTTAAGGAGCTACTGATTAACATATTTAATTAATGGAGGGTAGTACACTTTGATCTGGGCTTGTCCGCTAGACCTTCCTCTTCCACAGCCACCACCATGGAAGTTACCTCTTCCCCTAATCATGAGGAACCCTACAAAAAACTCTCTTGTTAAATAATCAGGAAGAGAATTTAATTCTCTTTTTATATTTTCTATTTTAAAATCAAATACTGATAAGATTGCTTGCCATCATGCAAATATTTGTTTAGAAGCTATGTTTTTAACATCTTGTTCTAATATGGTTTTTACAGAACTACAATCTATTCTTACTAAAAATTCTAGATTTAACAAATTATCTTGAAATTTAATGATACATTTAACTGTAGATAAAATTTCTTTTTTAATAGTTGAGTAATTTAATTGAGTTGTATTTCTATTTTCCAAATGTAAATCTTATAGGTGTTTCTTTACTAGTAATGTAAATTTTCTGTTTAAGAATACATCCATAACCTCTATCGATTTCCACAATTTTATTGGATAAAGATAAACATGATTCTTAGCTTTAATTTTAATCCTTTTAACTGATTCTGTATGATGATCTGTCCATTGAGATGGATTCTTTTGAAGCCTTGTATATAAAATAGTTGTATCTTGAGCCAAATTTTTATAAAAGCCTGATAAGTAGTAGTTGCAATTTTCTTTTATCTTTAATTTCATCAGAAAAATTAGAGGCA